ATATATATATATATACACGCACACACACACACACACACACATACATGTTCTTGCTGTTTTATAATTGACTTATTGTTTAAAGTTTGAAATAGTTCTCCCCTACCTTGTTTCTGGTCTCTGCAGCATCCGCGCATGTAACCGTAGTAACTGAATATATTAATCCTAGCCCAGCCCCTTAGACGCTACGTCATTTTATTGACAGGAGGATGCAGCGCGGGTTTCGCCAAGCTCGATACACACGCGCACTGATGCTTCCACATCCACACAGACACCCGGAGAGCGTCTCATCCTCTTCACCTTTTCTGTTCGTGTGCAAGTTTTTTTTTTTTCACTGAGGGTGCAAATTTTTTTTCAGACACCGACAGAAATGAATCCAATATTATTTTGTACGAGAGCCTGATAAATTAAAAAAATATATATATTTGTAATATTACTGAAAATGATTATTCTGTTGCTCTCATAAAGGAGCAATGGATATTGTTCTCGTTTCCAGCGTTAAATAAGCCTTTGCCAAAGAACAAAACATTATTTTGGGAAATGGGCAGCACTGCAATGGATCCTAAGAAGAAAAATGAGAAGAAAAATTCAAGAAAAAGGAGATCGCTTCGGATAAACATGCCCGTAAGTTCATTTCTGACTATACTGATGTTCTTCTCCCACAGATTCAAAGCCAGAAGTTGTGGACATGGACTGGAACGTGATACAAACTCAGACATGTAAATCATATGGTCTTTGCTCGCAATGACATTGTGAAATGACCTGTAAATTGATTTAACTTTTATCTCAGAAGGTTATTTTATCAAAGGCAATACATTTGTTTTTGTCTTATGTTTAGTGAATATATTCGTATTTAAACACGCTATGTTTGAAAAAATGTAATATTCTGAGATCCTGCAAAGGTGTATTTACATTTTATTTATTTATTAAATAATGTTTTATTTGTTATTATTATTATTACTGCTACAGTCCCAAATATTTATTTTCATAAACAAGTCCATGATATCATCACTTATAGACCAGGTATAGACTTCTGGCATGTGTGGTAATATATTTGTAACGATTCCACTGGAGGTGAGCTTAGTGAACCCACGCGCAGCTTTTATTAAACAAAAGTGATATCCAAAATACAAACAAATTTGACTTGACTTGGCTTGGCTTGAACAGATTTGGCATAAACAAAAACAAGAACTCACCAACAGAGGTACAGGGACAATACTCGACGGGAGACGTCAGGTGCGTTCGACTTCTTGCAGCACTGCGCAGACCGATCGGCGGCTGACTTGAAGCAGTGCATGCCGGTTAGAAATTTAGTCTGACTTGACCCGACGCCACGTCACTGTCACGTGTGGCATCAAAGTACCGCGATAGCGTTTCGAGAGCAGCCGGCTAACTCAGCCGGCACAGCTTTTTCAGAGCGACTGCAGGAGTGCAGATGAAGACACAGCTGTTTCACGATTAGCCAAATGCACCACATGACAACAATGATGTGTGTTTCTAACATCCTCAAATCCAATACTGCTTATCAATCTGTGTTTTTAGAACAGTAAAAGCTTTTTCTACTGTGGTCGCAATGTTATATTGAGTCACGTTTATCATGAAAGCATATATACCCCCACTTTATTAGTTTTTAAATAGTATATATTTACGTTGAACTTTATTCTTGAACAGATGGCGCTGTATTAAGCAGTATATAAAAAGTGTTTCTGTTGCTCATGAAAACGTTTCTGAAACATCTGTTTATGTGACAAATATTGCATTTTATTCACTTCATCTGTGATAGAGTATGCAAACACCGCGTGAGCATCACTAACGGGAGCAGAAAGTGTCCGGCTTGACGTGTCCGTTTTCAACTCCGCCCCTGACTGCAAGCGGCTACTCTCGTTGATTGCCGTCTGTAGCCGTGCTTCAAGTCGAACGCACCTAATGGCAACATGAGGGCTATAAATACCAAACAAAGTGGGTCACATGACACAATCCAACCAATGAGGAACAAGACACATGATTAGGACAACCAATCAGAACATGACACATACACTAGGCAGGAATACATGAGGATCAAGGGAATCACATGACTAGACAGGAACCATGACTAAACTACAAAATAAAAGACATGAAAACATGAACATGAAACAAAACACAAAACAGGCGTGACAGATCACCCCCTCTATGGGTGGCTCATGACGCCAAAACGTAACACCCACCCCAACCCAAACAACAAAAAGTTCAGGAGGGTGGAGGACTGGAGGTGGTCCAGCGGGTGGGATGGAGGGACAGGCCCATGAAGCGGAACCGGACCTGGATCATAGCATGGCAATGGACCAGGACTGTGGAGCAATGCTGGACCTGGAACATGGGGCAATGGCAGACCTGGGCAGTGGAGCAGAGGCAGGTCTAGACTGTGGACCAGAGGCGGGCCTAGGCCATGGAACAGAGACAGACCGTGAAACAGTGGAGGACCTGGGCCATGGTGCAGTGGCAGACTGTGGAGAAGTGGAGCAGGAGACCACCATGTCAGAGCCGGCAGAGCAGGAATCCAGGGCAGAGCCGGCAAAGCTGAGGACCACCAGGTCAAAACTGGTGGAGCAGGAAGCCAGGGTGGAGCTGGCGTTGCTGAAGAACAGATCGGACCGAAGATCCCCACGGTGGAGCAGATGACCACTTCAGTGGAGCTAATGACAAAGGGAACTACCACGGCGGATCAGGTGGGACTCGAACAGAGAGCATAGAGAGGTTAATAATGGCCTCCATGGCCGTGACAGGACAGGCAGAGAGTTCATGAACGGAAGCCGCCACCTCAGGAGATTCTGCAGCGGACTCATTAACAAGAGAGGCCTCTGGGGTAGACTCGTGGACAGGAGAGGCCTCTGGGGCAGACTCGTGGACTTGGGTAACAGAGCAGTAAGTAGCCCAAACACACAGGATGGCTACCGCCATAACAGGAATCACAGAGGATAAGGGAACAGTCTCTGTGATAGCCAGTGCTGAGACCCTGGGGATGCCAGCTGCTCTCACTGACAACAGAGGTGGGTCCACCACACTGGCAATCAGTCTTTTCAGTCCTGGCCCAAGCTCTGCATCCACAGGAGCTTGGGCACTATAGCCCCCCCCCCAAAAAATCCTTAGGGGAAACTTGTATGGTATCCGTGGCATGACAGGGTTCTGGCAAGGTGACCATGGCATGACAAGGCTCTGACATGACGGCCATCTTGACAGTAGGCTCTGGCGTTGTAGTCATCAGTTGTCGAGACTCAGGAGTGGCAGCCATGACATGATGAGACTCTGACGTGATGGCCGTGGTGTGGCGAGGTTCAGGCGTGGCGGCCATCTTGCAAAGAGACTCTTGAATGGCAGCCATCTTGCGGAGAGGTTCTTGAGTGGCCAGCATGACGTGAGCAGGCTCTAGCTTGGCAGACATGACGTGAGCAGGTCCTGGAGTAGCAGACATGACGTGAGCAGGCTTTGGCTTAGCAGCCATCTTGTGAAGAGGCTCTGGCTCGGCGGCTATAACGTGAGCAGGCCCTGGAGTAGCAGGCATGCCGTGAGCAGGCTTTGGCTGGGCAGGCACAACATGAGTAGGCTCAGAAGTAGCAGGTGTACCGTTAGCAGGCCTTGGAGTTGCAGGCATGATGTTAGCAGGCCTTGGAGTAGCAGGCATAACTTGAACAACTCCAGACGTGACAGTTGGGACATGAAAATGCTCTGGTGTGGATGGTACTGCAAAATTGCAGGGCTCCTCATCAGCCATCCCAACAGTAAATGCAGAGCCACTCAACTGGAGTGCAAAATCAATATATTGCTGTAGTGACCAGTGTGGGATATGTGGTGGCATTAAACATGATAGTTATTTTGTTAATCCGAAATGAAAAAGGTCCTTAAGAGCAATGTCACTGAAACCCACCTGGTCACATAGTTCACAAAAGTCTGCCCCATAATCCTCAATGGCCCGGTTGCCTTGTCGAAGGTACAATAAACAAGCTGCTGGGTTCATGGTTAGCGTAGAGTATTCTGTAATGATTCCACTGGAGGTGAGCGTAGTGAACACAAGTGCAGCTTTTATTAAACAAAAGTAGGAATGGGTAGATCGACACCTAGTGTCGAAACACGTTTGGAGTTGTTGACACACTAGTGCAGGGGTGGCGAACTCCGGTCCTGGAGAGCCGCAGCCCTGCAGAGTACAGCTCCAACCCTAATTAAAACCTACCTGCCTGTAGCTTTCTAGTAACCCTTCAGACTTTGATTAGCATGTTCAGGTGTGTTTGATTAGGGTTGAAGCAAAACTCTGCAGGGCTGCGGCTCTCCAGGACCGACGTTCGCCACCCCTGCACTAGTGCTTTAGTGGTACCTTGCTGTCTATGGGAGGGTCAAAGAGCCCTCAGATTTAATAAAAAATATCTTAAATTGTGTTCCGAAGATGAACGAAGTTCTTACGGGTTTGGAACAACACGAGGGTGAGTAATTAATGACAGAATTTTCATTTTTGGGTGAACTAACCCTTAACAATTCAATTCCAATAATGCTCACAAATCTGTGTTTTTATAACAGTAAAAGCTTTTTTAGTGTAGTCGCACTGTTATCTTGAGTAGTTTTTATTAAAAACACTGATAAAAACATTTATAGCCCCACTTTATTGGTATTAAGTAGCCTATATGTTTATGCTGAACTTTATTCTTGAACAGATGGCACTGTATTAAGCAGTATATAAGAAGTGTTTCTGTTGCTCATAAAAACGTTTCTGTGTATTTGACAAATATTGCATTTAATTCACCTTCCGCCCCGACTGCAAGTGGCTACTCTCGCCAGCCGGTGGCCGGCTAGTGTAATTCATCTCGAAGGCACCTAATGGCAACATGAGGGCTATAAATACCAAACAAAGAGGGTCACGTGACACAATCCAACCAATGAGGAACAAGACACATGACTAGGACAACCAATCAGAACATGACACATACACTAGGCAGGAATACGTTTGATCAAGGGAATCACATGACTAGACAAGAACCATGACTAAACTACAAAATAAAAGACAGGAAAACATGAACATGAAACAAAACACAAAACAGGCGTGACAGTATTGTATTTATGTCTTTGAATAATATGTGCATATTTAAAACAATCTGTCATGACATCTTGGTATTAGAATTTATTTATATAATTGTATTTTTTTGGTTTATAGTAAATATTGCAAAATAAGCATTATATATTTTATTTTGACAGTATTTTATTCATATTTTGTATTATTATTATTATCACATACTGCATGGTCTCTAAAATATTAGCCGCATATGTATATTAGCTAAATGTACACGTTTCCTGGTTCTCGGGATAATTAATGTTAGCACTTTCTAATCCTAATCAGCATCATTATATTCAAATCAACCACCTCCTCACATAATAGCAATGAACATGTTTTGACCAGGTGTGGACCATATTTCAATTGGCCACACCTGACTGAGTTAAACATGGAGTCAGTCATCATCTCTAATGGCTTAAAGAACCACAGATGACAGTCAGTTAATGTGTGGTTTTCCTAAATGAATGTTTAGAGAAACACAAATGCTTTTAATGAATTAATGATGATTAGTACTGATCCTGTATAGACACAGGTATTTAGTGAGAGTAAC